TTTACTCTCAATTTTATATGACTTTAAAATGTTGGCAAACTTCAAAAAAAAAATCATGGCCGACAAATTGAGAGAACGGGTTGACCTTACTATGTTTTTATCATGCTTTGCTGCATTTTTACCCCAAGAAAGTTGTCATACTTGTTATTGTCGATGCAAATTATATGAAAATATCTGTGGAAAATGACCTGATCTTAAAAAACGGTATACAGATCAGTAATATACGAACCAAAATTAAGGTCATGTGCCACGGTGTTTTTTTCTTGTAATTTCAAAACTTGAGATTTTCCCAACAGTGTAGTCAGTAGAGAAGCTGACGATTGAACTTTCTTCGTTTTCCTGGCGTTTACTCTTTTTTAGATCATCTCACCAAACTTCTAATCCGCAGAAAATAATTGCACTTACCATCGCGGTATAAATCCAGATCTGTGTGTTTAATGTGGAACTTACACCCAGGGCACCCTGCTCTATAAATTGTTTTTAATTTTGAAATAATTACATTCAATGTTTTCAAAATGAAGGCAAATAGGATTGTGGAGGAAAATTGCCCTGGAGCTATCCTTCATGCTTATACTCGTAAGCTATCTCTCAAAATTTAATCAAGGCATTTTAACATTGGGTCTAAGATACTATTTCGCAACAACTGGTTAGAAGCTACTTGGAAGTATTTATTTTTTTCTCTATCTCACTCTCCATACTTTCACACTTTCGAAAATATTATAGCCCAGCAAACATTTGGAGTCATAAATGAGTCTTTAAGGAGTCCTATTTCGGAGCAATTACGCTCATAATGAGCTCATTTAAGAGTCCGATATGAGTGTGTTTCCCTTCCTACGAATGTGACTTATATGAGCTTAAATTCATACATCAAATGAGCCTCAATATGAGTCATATTGGACTCTTATTGGCCTCATATACGGCTCATTTTGGACTCTTTTAAAACAAGTTTTGGCCTCATATATGACTCTTTTTGAGACCCTTATCGGCCTCATAAATTGCTACATTCGGACTCTTATTTTAGGTTGCTCTTTGAGTCTTATTCAACTCACTATATTTGCAAAGGCATTCCGCAAAAAGTCCTTGCAAATAACATACATACATACTTACATGCATATACACATTCCAACATGCATTCAATAGCAGCAGCTGAAGCTAAATTTTGTTCATTTTTTTGTTTTCTAATTATTTTCAATTTCTGTATAAACAAGTTTAGATATAAATTTCAAATCTTTATTGTTTTTATATTGGCACAAGGTGCTGGCTCATAACTTGGCTCATATATGAATCCTAAAAGATTCATATAAGAGTAAAAAATTTTTTGTTTTTGAAACTCATATTTCTTACCTACCTAGGACACCTTTCGGACTCATATATTCTGAACGCTCAGAATATGTTTGCGGGGAGGGATCTCGAAGTTTTTGAAAGTATTTCGATGAGTCCCTTAGAAGGAAAGTTTTTTCTCACTAGCTAACGCACGTTTTGAAGCAGCGAGCTTCGCTGAAAACAACGCAAAACCTTATATCTCTTTACAATTTTGCATAGATAAAATTGTGCCTAAAAATTAAGGCAAATGTTTAAAGCGTTCTCCTAACTCTTTGCAACTGAAGAGTAAATATGTATGTATCCTGCGAGGGATAAAGAAATGAATGATGAGTTTTTGGGTTCACTTGAATTTACTTCTCGAATTGGCAGCAAATAAAGCGGTATTCACCTTTGATGACAGGAAGCGATTTCACAAATACAAAACACGAGTAAAAAAAAACTCTTTCATGTCCCAAGTGTATTTTCGCCCCTTCAAACAATTGAATCAACCAGCAAACACTCAAAAGCAGAAATACTCCTGGCATAAAGGCCAAAAGGATTGAAAGGCGATATAATATTAAAACAAAGCAGGCATACTATAAGCCCATCAAGTCATATGCCTTGGTACGAATGTGAAAAGGGAACCAACTACATCAAGGGCAATGACAATAAAAGCTTAAATAACAAAAGTAAACAATAATCGTAAAAAATAAATAAACAACAACAATAAACATTCACATTCACATGCATTTATGTATAAATACGTAAAAATCTGTGTATATATTTGTAAATACTACATACAAGTGTTTACAAATATTTTATTTTCACTGCGTACGAGCATTGGTAGAGGAAGAGGACCAGAGGCAACATCAACGCAATGCCTCGAGTGTTAAGCCAATAACGTATGACGACTGCACAGTAAAACAGTTAAAGTAAAAGAGTTTAAGTGGTACAATGACAAGTGGTGACTGGCTCAGAGGTTGCGCTGAGGGCAAAGTGACTACCGCACAACTACTCTCACTACATTTGAGGCGTAGCACTAAAGTGGCGACATATGAGCGCACTTCAATTTTTTATGCGCTATTTGAGTTGTGCTGTGCACGAGACACAGTCAATACAATACGGTTGATGTGTGGCAGAATGCAAGCAAACTGTAGCGAATGTATGTAGCTCTACTCGTACATTTTCTCATACTATATAGATTTTCGTTCCCATATGCGTTGATATTAGCTTGGCTTGCTGTTGGCAACCACCACACACAAAGTGAACTGTAGGCATCAAGAGTGTTGACAAAGTAGACAGCACGCTGCACCATATATATAGTCGGCAAAGCCAGTATTAGCTGGCTGTGGCAGTTGCAAGCAAACATTGAGACAGCTGACGCATAAAGCTTATGAATGATGTGCCTTTTTAGTGGACTTTAATTTTCATCACTGGAATTTACGACTTATTTCTCATGAGGTGGACCTATTTTTTCGGTGGTGATAAGCGTTTTTTAAACAAAAGCTATTTAAGCTTTAATAGCCAGTGAGAATAAATAAAGTCATAAAGCTTCTTTGTCCGATTCAAAGCGTTGATGTGAATTTACTGTGCTAAGCTATAACTAATAGAGAGGGTACCCTCATTCCGAAGAGTTACAGCTGCTACAGAACATAATGTGTTACAGTCCCATTTTGACAGTGTAACACCCAAGGTGCACTGCCCTACTGCTCAAAACAGCGCCCGCCGGCGGATCTCTTCAAGGCCCTCTGTAGATTTTATATGGAGGCGCACAGAGTAAAAGCTCTCTCTGTGCCTCACTGGTTTAGATATAAATCTTCAGCAAAACTATTTCAATTAGAATCCCTCTTAATGCCCTTCCCTTTCTTAATGCCTTGGTGGGTCATAAAGACATATAAGGAAACGATGGGACAGACATGTTTTCTATGAAGGCTGCAGCAATAACACAAATTAGACCACACCCCATAAGGAAAGAGCTTAGGAGAGAACGAATAGAGAGCAGCACTCGAATCATGTTTCTAAGCAGCGGTAGACGAATAAGCTATTGAGGGATATGTACACAAGAAAGATAACAATTTGTCAAGCTTAATAAACTCTCTAATAACATATTAAGAGTTTTTAAAGATATTTAAACAGGTCACTGCAGATTAAGTAGTCAGCGATAAAACTCGGTATCTGTTCTAACAATTCATGCTTTGTTTTTTGGTAAATTCAGTTGAAACTTCTGAGCAGTTATTGCTCGGCACATACACTCAATGCCACTAAATAAACTGTTGGATTTCCAAATGAGTTTTTTCATCTAATCTAGGTCATGGAAAGAATTCAAGACTACTAGACAGCGTTACACCAATTGTATTTCATTGTCTCATTATTATAGGCGAAGTTCTTCAAATTGAGACCTAAGCCCATGTTATGTAATGGTAACGTGCGTTAGGGCGATTTTTGGTATAATGCAATTGAACCCTGCGAACTTCTACATCCAACAAAGGCAAATATTTTCAAGACTACCCCCACTCTATAGAAAGATCGAACTTGAAAAGAAGTACGCTTTTCTAAAAAGTTTTAATCTAGCCAAGCAAGTGGTCAAGTGGTAAACAATCAGTTGTTGAATCCAGGGACCGAACATAACAGTTATTGATAAAAACTGTCAATGAAAAATTCACTATGAAGGAAAAGTTCTACAACTAAGTGATACATACCAAACGATTTCTTTTTTCTCCGAGAATCAAATTTGGAAATAAATTTTTATTTAGAACTTTTATGCAAAATTTAAAAAAAAAATAACATATTTTTGTATTTTATTTTACAAATCTAAAATAACAATTATTTTTGATTTTTATCTAAATAATCTGCAAATAACAGTTATTTTTGATATTTATATTATACGTCTTAGATAACAATTATTGAAGACTTTATAAAAGTCATCAATAAAAATCAGCCACCGACTTTTATTTTAGAAATCATACATACAGTTTCCGTAGTTAAGGAGGTGTTGGACAACCAAAGTTTACTACGACTTATAAAAATGACTTTTTAAAATAAGTCAGGACTGATTTATATTGATGACTTTTATAAATAAGTCTTCAGTAGCTGTTATCTAATTTATATAATTTAAAAATCAAAAATAACTGTTATGTGCAGATTATTTAGATAGAAATAAAAAATAACTGTTATTTTGAATTTATGAGATAAAAATCAGAAAAATTATTATTTAAGGAGTAATTAAATAAAAGTCAAAAAATAATTGTTAAAGAGTGATTTTTTTAATAAAAGCTGTAACTGTTACGGTTCCTGGTTGAATCAGCTATAAACAGGAGCTTCTTTGTCTACTTTCTAGCTAATTTGTGTTGTATATCAGCAATAATATTAGAAATAAGTTTGCAACTAATAAATTTTCAGCCTAAATAGACCCCGTCAGGTATTTAAATCCCTTTCAAAAGGACAAATGTCCCGGTGGGTTTCTTTTCAGGGCGAAAGACTTTCGGGAGCTTTCAGCGCTGTACTTAGTTACTCTTCCAGACAGAATCTAAAAAAAATATATCCGCAGTCTTATGAAGTTTGTAAACTCCTCTACAAACCATAGATAAGGCCAGCATTATCTTTTTTCATTTTTTTAAACACTAAGTCACCAACACAAATATTTCCATTGAAAATTTGCAAATTAGAGAGTTGGTTAACTTTAAAATTCCTTACAACAGACAGCCACACTGGAAGTGGTTATACCACCAGATATAGTCAACGAGGAAACATCTGGCGACATGATGGTGCCAGAAGGTGGCTCAGCGAAGTTGGTGTGTCGCGCGCGAGGGCATCCGAAACCAAAAATTACCTGGCGACGCGAGGACGGACGTGAAATTATCGCGCGTAATGGTGCTCATCAAAAAACCAAAGGTGAGTAGAGGCCGAGGCGTTTTTTTTTCAACTTTTTCTTGAATGGAAACAAAGATATGTGGATATTTACAATATTAAATATATTGCATTTATTTTTTCTCCTCTTCTCTTTTTCTCAGCTTTGGCAGTCGAAGGTGAAATGCTAACACTGTCCAAAGTGACACGCAGCGAAATGGGCGCTTACATGTGCATCGCCTCGAATGGTGTACCGCCGTCGGTGAGCAAACGCATGAAGCTGCAAGTGCATTGTAAGTTGAAAAAAGCAAAATTATTTTATAAAAAAAAAGATAGGTATATATAAATAGATCATTAAGATTAAAAAAAAACATAAGCTTATCGAAAGTGTAGATAATTTTGCTAGCCGCCAGCTTAAATGTTGTTCACATTTGAAAAAAGTAAAATTGTAAATAGTCTGGCTCGGCATTCTCTACTTCCACTTTATCCTTCATTGAAATTTCCCGTCAATTTCACAAACTCATTTAAAGCCAGTATAAACGTAAGACTGGCAAAACTTTCAGTAGTTTGAAACACTGCTCCGCTTATATCAGCCAAGTGGGTTATTGAGTACCTCTACGCTTGCACGTTTAAAAACCGTATTGCTATATTACGTATGTACACATGTACATTAGAGTGACCCAATTTTTGTATGGGGGAAAAAATGTCAACCTAGAAATTATTTTTTTAATATCTATACCAAATTTCGATTTTCTACTGCCACCAATACAGAGTGCTCAATAATCTTGAAATGCGCTACTGGATCGCTGTGAAACTGGCAAAAATATTGGCGATTTTCATAAAAAGCTACTGTTGCCACGGCAACTGAAGTTTGTGATATTATTTTTTAATAATTTAAATTTGAAATGTTATTAGGTTGCTGAACCAATTGTTTGACTAATATATGTAGGAACACAATATTTCTAGAGTAAAATATGAGCATTGTGAGCATCCTGTAAATATATGCTTAGAAACGTAAAGTTTGGTACCGGCACCTCTTTCTGGAAGGTGCCCCAAACCCTTTCACGGAAAAAAAAATTTTTTGGACCACTCTAATGTAGATACATGTTGGCAGCAGCACTTGTAGCTTCTACATATTTATGCATAGCGTACCTGTAGTAGTAGCACCACACTGCATACACGCGCTGTGCAAAATCACAAAAAGTTTGTTAACTACTTGATTCAATATCCTTTCGTTCGAGTGGAGTTCTATTTATTTGACGCATGCATGCGAGCTTAGCAACGGTTTCCCAGTATTAAAACATAAAAAAACGTTGGCTTTGGCATACATAGTATTACACACATACAAGTGCATGCACATATGCTAAAGCCATGCAAATACCAAAACAAGCTGGAAATGACAAGCAAAAAAAATAAAGTCAAAGCTTAAAACTAAAAATATATGTAATACTGCTGTAGATAAAACAGTCAGGAAATACGAAGGTGTTTCGAAATTTACCTTAGATTTAAAATATTTCAACAAAAAATTCCATAAAATTTATTCCACTATTAATGTTAGTACACGGCGTATGCGCAACCATTTAATTCGACAACAGTTTCCTAAAGTTCTTTGTGAAAAAAGAGCACAAGGCAACCCATGTTCAGAACATAAATATATGCCCGTTCCGTTATTACGAGAGGAAACAGTAGAACAATATGCTGTAAGTTGTCAGATGTCAAACCAAACTCCTTTGACACTATCGAAAAAATGGGGCATATTCTTGTTTTATTACGAATCGAAAATCATGAAATTTTCGTATCATTTTCTATACAAAAATTTCAAATTTTCGATTCGTACGAAATCCAGAATATGCCGCAATACCTTAAAAAAAAATCGCAAAAAAATACTAACCTATTTTTAAAAATTTGGTATCGTTGTAAAGCCGATTAAACCCCCTTTTTTCTAGTATGCATATTTGTATATTTCATATATATGAAATGTGTGAAAAAAACATTTAAAGGCAAAAAGTACATTTTTTTATAAAAAAAACAAATTCCAAAAAATTACTTACCGATTTTTAAAAAATTGCAATCGTTGTAAAGGATACTAGAAAACTTGTATTTTCTTTAACCCAAAAATGTCTATTTATTTATATACACAAAAAAAAATGTATTAAAAAAATTTTTCCCTCTATATAGACTCCTGGCCCCCTAGGTGAAAGGCTGGCTACGCCCTTGTATACAAAACAATTAAAATATTTAAACCGTGCATCATACGGTCAGGTCGTTCTTTTAGAGCGCATACATGGTTCCATAATAATGATTCCAGTGTCTTCATTTATGTATATTGTAACTATCAATTTTATCTATAGCTAAAAAAGTTAGAAGGACGAAATTCGAGGATGTGGTAGTTACCATATTAGTCCTTGACATTTATTTTTTCCAAAAATAAATATTGGAAATTTCCAAGGATATTCAAGGATAAAGTTTTAAAAGGACATTTATAATACTTATTCGCACCCAAAAATTAATTTTTTTTTCTATTCTACGGAATTTTTCCTTCTAATTGATACCCATAGTGTTACTCTACAATGCACCGAATCTTTTAAATCATTTTTTTATTAAATCATATTCTTGATATTTCAATCCTGACGTCCGAGATCAAAACTAAAAATGCAGTTTTACTATATTTAGCACCCAGTTTTGTGAATATATTGATGTTTTCGTATGTAAAATTGATTGTCGCACGGTGTTATGGATCCGTATATCGGTTTCCCAGATCAGGTCATTTTCCCACGATATTTTTTTTTCAGGATATTTTTTTTTTATTTGTACTAACGCATGTTCTCTTGCCAAAAAATTAAGCTACTAAAGATGAATATTGATCAAAAAGATAAATAAATGATAATCAATAATTTTTTTTTATGAAATAGAAGCAGGAAATATTGTTACTCATACGCCATATCGCACATATATGTATATGTAGATCAAAAGTGAGCTAACTCAAAATTCATGGAGGGAAATTTAACCGCTTCTGTATCGTACAGATTAAGCGATTAATACAAAAATAGGTACAACAAAAGTTTTTTTGGTTAAAGTATATATTCATAAAGAAAAAAATATTTCCATTAATTGGATGTAAGAGCTATGAATTTATTTATGCAAAAAAATTGCTCAACATTTTTTTTTTGAGTTGATCGCACTTTAGATCTAGGTGTGCGATAACATCCATAGCCGTACTCGTACCTGGCATATGAGTAACATTTTCCATTCTTATGGAGATGGTAATATTATTCAACGCAGTTTTGCATAGCCGTGTTTTGTTTCGCAGAAATACCGAAATCAGACCTGGCGACATATACGCACTTCTTTTTCGTCGTCATGCATGGGCTGTTGCATTCAGCTTAAATCTCCTCGCCGCCGCACTTAAAAAAAAGCTCAGCCGGGATGCCGTCAGCTTTTTTGTTATCTATCATCGGCGAAATTAATCAGTCTCAGTCGGTTGTCGGGTGTTTCGACGTGGATAGAAATCGTCAAAGGGCATGTGCGCTCCAGTCACTCTTAGAGGGGCATCTACAGATCTCCGGGACATGTCCTTCACTCTCGTCGGGGCATGGGCTAATTGAGTAAGATGTTGAGGAATTTCGTTTTTCGCTAAGGTTCCAGAAATTCCGGATACTCGATCTACCGTACTGCACTAGTTATTCGCAATCACTTATTGTACCCAAACGCCAATACCTCTTTTATAAATTTACCAAATCAATTTTTTAAAGAAATACCTTCAGCCCAAATACACATAACAATGTGTATATGTGTACGTAAAATTACATCCCACTGGGAAAATAGGTAAGCACCTTGCGAGGTAAGCCATGTTTTCTTTCAGTTTTTAGTACCAAAATTGTCATCATGGCCAATGTCATCTACTAGTAAAGGGCAAAATGAACACCTCCGAAGACACATTACGTTGTCACTTGCAAAATAACGTGCAGCCGAAGTTATTTCCAAGCACCGAACTACTCCGAACGACTGCTCTGCATTACACGTAACTTACTTTGTAAAGCGGCTCAGAAGTATGTCTGATACCAAATGTACATTCTAAATTCATACTTACATAAGGCGGCCATGCCTTTGTAAAAGTAAGGGACGTTCGGCAGGGAAATGGTAATGACTGCCAGGTGAAGAGTAAGTTGCTAATAAGGTATTATTACGTGCTCCTAATTCCCACTGGGATATGTCAGGCATACATAAGCAACAGCTGTTGCCATTATCTCTATACAAAATCGTCAATAAACAAACTTCATCGAAAGCGTACACACCAACCAAGCTGGTGGTTACATTGGGTGGAATCATTAAAAAAGCATAACATATTTACAAACAAGCACATTGATTCATGTGCACATATGAATGAATCTAAGTATATATGCACAACTTAAATATGGGCATGCATATATATGTACATATGTATTTATGTATTTAGTACATCGATATAAGTTCATACCACTACCAATTCACTGGCACACTCCGCCAATAATCTCTGCCAACATTTCTAGACAGCTAGTGGGAGTAAATACTAGAGATAGAGCAACAAAGGCTACCATAAACATACATACAAAATTTAACATCATCCGGATAGCCGACTGAACGAAAAGTCAATAAGTCAAATTGCTAACAATAGCAACAAAAGTAGTTGAAGCAACAAGAGTTAGAGACAACAATGATCAGTGCTATGGTTGACCAAAGACCACAGCAGCAACAAAGTTTCAAACAAGCGTGCAACTAGCAAAATCATATATTAGATGTGTATTAGCGTGGGCCTAAAATCCGCTTTTTTTTAGAATTTCGATTGATAATAGCAAAAATATGGTTCATTATGCTCTAAAAACAATCGGTGTGAAAGATGACAATTTTTGGTCAATATCTTAGGCTCGCCCAAGTCCATCAAAGTTCAATGAGCTCAAAAAATAAAAATTAATAAATACATTAATTAATAAAATCTTTTACTAAAATTGCACGTATCCTTGAAAATATTAGTTCTTTTTTGTAGAGAATCCAAGTAAGCTAAGAACAAATTTTTTTACCACGTGAACTTTGATGGACTTGGGCGAGCCAAAAACTGTCATCTTTCACACAGATTGTTTTAAGAACATAATTAAGCATATTTTTGCTGTTACCAATCAAAATTTTTAAAACAGCGGATTTTCGGCCCACGCTAATGTGTATGTATGTATGTATGTATATTAACAAACCCACATGCAATTCATTCACACAGATGCTTGTGAAGAATTCAACAAATTTTCTTTATACTTTTACGAGT